ACCGGCTGTCTCTGCCCGCCGGAGGTTACACCGCGCTCGGGTCAGCGTTTATCATCCCAGCGTGGGGATTTGCGAGGATCAGGAAACTCATAGGCTCCACCTGCATCAAAGATTAAGCATTAAACTCACAATCACCGATATTAAAAACATGGATTAAAGCACAGATCTGTCCCCTCTCTACTTCCAGGTACTCACCTGCTTTAATGCTATTACAAAACCGTGCTGGATTTGGAGGGAACGGGGGAATATCCCCTTGGGAAGGAAGGGACAAACACCAGCTGGGCCGGTGGGTCCCGCTGCCAGGGCGCAGCGCGGAGGCACAAACCATCCCAGCCGTGCCAGGGCCACCCGCGGTGCTCAATGGATCCCGCTGGCACGCAGGATTTGGAAGCAAAGCCCCCAGCGAGGAGATCTGCCTCCGACACCCTGAAAGGGCAGGAGAGAAACCGAATCCAGCTGCTACCGCCCTGAATCCAGGCAGAAGCGAGTTGTTTTAACCAGGTGTTCACCTCTCACAGCGCTACCGTCAGTTGGGGAGTGACTGGAAACAGCCCAGCACGCACCAGTCCCGTGTGCTGGCTGTAAACTAAGATGAAGTTTTGCAGGACAAGCTTGGATAGTTTTTTTTTTTTTAACTCTTTCAGGTTATTCCTCTCATTTCCAACAGCGATTGTCACCTGCCCACAGGTCAGCAGGAGGGACAGGCTGTGAGCATGAAGGGAGAACCCACGGCACCGGCGGCTCCCTCCGGCTCCAGGAGCATTCGACCTCCTCAAGGGCACGTCCCCAGCACCGCTGCGGTGTTTTAGGGTGTCTCAAAAGCTCCCCTGACAGCACTGCTACAGAGAAAGACCCTCAAGCCATGCTTTATTCAGAAAGAAAGACAAGACAGAGCCAAACGCTGTTCCGAAGGAGACATTTACTAACCCCAGCGATGCTCGATGTGGTGTCATTCCCCCTTAGCAGGGGCAGGGCCCCCACGCAGACCCCCACCCAGACCCCCCCCCACCACTACCGCGTAACCCGGTTGTGCCGCGGGTTTTCTTCCCGGAGGAGTTCCCCTTCAACAACTCCGCAGATGACCGACAGCCACGTCCCCTGCAAATCAAGGCCGCGGCTCCTCTTTGCCCTTGTGGTAGTCGGGCGGCGTGTACTTCCCTTCCTTGATCATCTTGTCCCTCTGCTCGAGGATGGTTCTCAGCCGCACAGCCTGGCAAAGCACACACGAGAGGGTGGGGGCAGACACACAACAGGGTCGCAGCGGTCAGGGAAGCACCGAGGTTGTCCCTAGTGTGGGTCCTGGCAGCCCCCCAGAACCCGTGTGCACATGGCACCCCCACCAACCCTGCCCTCAGGGGTCCTCACGCATCTAACACGCGGGTTTGCACCTTCTGCCAAAGACTTTTGGGCTTTCAAGTTGTTGCAACACATTTTACTACTAATAATAATTGGGTTTTCAGCCCACAGCTGACCAGGCAGTATTTTCTTCCATCGCTGCT